AAACCACCCCCGGAAGGTACAAACCTCAGATACTTACTACACATTCTCAGGAGAAGAACAAATAAAAATAAGAATTTTTAACAAATTAAATATATCATTAGATTTTTCTGATAGTCACATTCTTGTGTGTTTTTTTGAGAATATTTTCCTATCTTTCAAGCTCAGTCAATAAAATGCATCGTATACTTAATAAAAATGCAAGTTGAAATAAGAAAACAAATCTTTTCAAGATGACACACTCAGGGTGTGGCAGTACTGGCTGGAATGTTAAAACACCTGACTCTAGTGTCAAGTCTGATATCCTATCATATGAATTCTCCCACCCCTATTCTACTCATTGAAGTACTCAGTGACCACCCTCTGAAGAACTTCTGCACTGTGCCCCGGGTGTGCCTGGAGTGCATTTTTCTCTGCAGGTCATTGCACCATCTTGCTAGAATGGATTTTCATTGTCTTTGGGGATAGTTTTTCTCCTTTCCCAATTCTGAAAAAATCCAGATGGTAGGAATTATTTCTGTCTTTTCCCTAAATATCACCATTCAATTGGCTGATCAGCAATGTGTCTCCAAGAAATAGAAACTGGAATTGTAGAAAGAAAATCTTAATGCCACAGGGATTTAGCTTTTTAGATAAAGGGTAAAGCAGATTTATAATCACCTGCCAGTAATAATTTAAAGATTCAAGTTGATTGTCTACAAATAAAATAACACTGGTTGTGATGTGTAAGTTCAGGATTTAACATGACAGTGCGTACACTGCATGGGACAGGTACTATACATATCTGGACATCATAAACAGTATTGAATGCCTGCATTTAAACGACTGAATTAGTATGTACCTCACTTGGCCTCAGTAATCTACCTCAAACAAACTCATATCAAAAGTCACTAAATCTCTCAGCTACATTATATATATTCTGTAGATACACACTCACAAAATGTACATACTATACATACAGTTTGAACCAACATGAAGTCCCATTGTTTTTGACAATGTACCACAGGTAGACATTATCGTGGCTAAAATCTATATAATATAGATGAGATTATAAATCTGAAGTTTTAACACTAACAAAAGAAAACCCAGAGCATCTTGGTAAGTCTTGTTTTTATTTTGTTCCTGAGAGTCAGTAGAATGGCAGCTGTATGTTATGTTAGTCCCATATATTTCTGTTAACTTTATTATTTGCAAAAAAAGTTTTGCATGTATTGTATTTGTAGGAAGGTAATATAATGATTTAAGATTTTTGTTAAATATGGAGATTAGTTATTTATGACAAAAAGAAATGTGCTTTTGTTTATTTGTTCCCAATTAATGTACATTAATTTTAAAATGTATTAAAGCGATAGCAAAGAAAATAAAGAGATGCCATAGAAGTCTCTTTCTCTTCATGTTTGCATGCAGAGATACACTGCTTCCTAAGGATATGTAAGGAGAGATGTGGATTTTAATTTTAGAATCAGATTTTTCAAATGTACTTAAAATATAAGCAGCAAAAATTGTATTACTCAAGCAAATTTCAATCACAGGAGCAGAACTATTTAAAATATGCTTTAATTGAATATACTTCCTAGGTTTCTCCTGGCAATCCTGTTATTGTTTCATGATCCACTTGAAGAAATTGAGATACGTGGAAAAACAGTCATTGCCCGAGATTCCCTTCCATTTTATAAATGCTCCATTTATGCTGAAATAATCTGAATAGACACGATGCTTTTTTGTGCATCTGGTTGGAAGACAGAAACTCCCAAAACTTTTCTATTCAGCTGTTGGATCCACAATTTGCTGCTGAGCTATAAGTCCACATCAGGAAGCCCAGGTACAAACTGAGGGTTGGCTTGTCCCTGGTAATCTAAACAGATGCTTACTGAGCCTGAGGTGCTATTTTCACACCACCTTCTGCCAACTGCTGCTTTGGCAAAATAAGGATTGGCCACCAATCTACCAACACTACCTCACTTTAAGGCCTGGTATGTCAGCATTCTCTGTCATACTCTGAGACATAGTATGTGGGAGACATGACTCTGTAATTAGGAGCTTAAAGTGTTTCAGGGAGACCACATAAATCTAGTGAGAAGTGATTTAGTAATATATGAGAGCATGTAATTTCGTGTCAAGGCAGGGGCTGTGAACTTCATTACATTAGTATGTGAGTTAAAGCAGCTGGGAGAGGCAGACTAGAAAATATAGTTGTTGAGCTGAGTCCTGAGAGAAGGGCAACTGCACCTTACACCTTCTGCGTGCAGGGCTCTCTCATCAACACATCTTCCCCATGCTTTCCCATTGCTCATTTTCCCCCAGTGGAAAAGAAGGGGGCCGGGTGCGGTGACTCACGCCTGTAATCCCAGCACTTTGGGAGGCCGAGGCGGGCAGATCACGAGGTCAGGAGATCGAGACCATCCTGGCTAATACAGTGAAACCCGGTCTCTACTAAAAATACAAAACAAATTAGCCGGGCGTGGTGGCAGGCGCCTGTAGTCCCAGCTACTTGGGAGGCTGAGGCGGGAGAATGGCGTGAACCCAGGAGGTGGAGCTTGCAGTGACCAGAGATCACGCCACTTCACTCCAGCCTGGGTGACAGAGCGAGATTCCGTCTCAAAACAAAAACAAATACAAACAAAAAAAAGAAGGGAAAGGGCAAAGTCCACATGCTGAATGAAGCAAGAGGGACTGCTGGACTTAAAAAGGTGGAGAAATAGGTGGGCCCAGGATAATATTGGTGAGAGTGGTGTTTTTTGTTGATTTAGTTACAGAGTTCTTGAGCTCATCATGAATAGAAGAAATAGGGTTGATGCAGAGAGGCTGTAAGCATAGACTTGGGAGCCAGGCTGATTGGGAATATAAGTCCCAGCTTCACCTTTTATGAGCTCTATGATCCTGGACAGGCCACCTCCTCTTAGTATTCAGTTTTCTCATCTGGGAAAAACAGATAACAGTACTTAAATCCTAGGATTCAGAAGAGTTCAAGGATTAACGCAGGTTAAGATAAGTGAAACAAGGGAGAGGCAACTGTTCAGACAAGAAATAAAAGGAAATTGACAAGACAAGGATTTCAATTGGAATCTAAGAATCATTTAGGATATGTGTTACAATTTTAGATTCCCAGGCCTTAGTTCCAGGAATTAAGATTCATTAGTTCTGGGGCCCAAAAGGCTATTTTATAAAAAGAAACTTTAAAAAGTCACCAAAATAACTCAGTTTCTGTATGCCCTTACCAGTTCCCCACTAATGTGAACACCTCGTATTGACATGGTACATTTGTTAAAACTAAAAAATCAATGTTGGCACATTACTACTAACTCCAGACTTCATCAGGTTTTCCCCTCATGTTCTTTATCTGTCACAGGATCAAATCGAGGATACCATGCTGCATTTAGAGAAGCTGCATTTTTCACAAGCTCTTTCAGCTGATGAGAGGGAGGTGGGTGGGGATCACGTCTTGAAAAACACTGGGACCTTTAGAGGAATGAACCAAAATTGCTGCATCCCCAGTTTGGGGAGGTGAAATACAATTTTGAAGAGGAGAATTGGTGGAGGAGATGACTATAGAAGGCTGATTTTAGAGGTAGAGATGGAATCCTCTCCATTAGATGAGAGGGGGTTACCTTCAGAACAAGGCATTAATGCCAAAGAAAACAGGTTTTGGAAGGAAGGGGTACAACCTCATCCTCAGGCTAGATTGAGAATACATGATTAAGGTTGTGAGTAGGTCAGAATCAGCAAGTGCAGCAAATTGGTTGCAAATCAGGTGTTTCAGAGAACGCACACAGAGGGCTCACATAAAGGGAATCACAATGGGTCAGTTAGCTTGCAAGCTACATACAACCTGCATGTTCCAGAACCTGGTGCTAACGCTTTGGCACTGGGTCATGATGACAGACATCAAGCACTGCCACATTGGAAAGTAGCAGAAAAGGCAAGGGTGAGGCTGGGATAATCGATTTTGTTTGAGGAGGGTTCTAAGGGTCTTGGGTGAAACAGGCTGGAAGAAGAGGTGGATAACACACTTGAAGCTCTGCTTGTGATTCGGTTTTCACACTGAAGAGACATAGGAGTCACCAGCTTGAGGTGACAGGTAAAGTTTTGTAGAATTGAGACGGTGAAGATGAAGCAATATATTTTTTTAAAGAAGCAAGCAGCTTATTTTGGGAATCCATGGAGGTCTTTTGAAGGAGATACCACTCATATTTTATTAAAGACCTTAGGTTCTGGGACTATCACTGAGTTTTCCTAATCACAGTCCAATTGCTCAGCTTCCTTACACCAATTATAAGAGTCATCTAACCTGTTCCTTTTTAAAGAATGTTAACCATTTTTCACTGGACTCAAGATTCTTATAATATCTATACCATTTTTCTTTCCCAGTTAGTTGTTCTTTCTGTACCCTAGAAATCCTAAACCACAAGCTGATATTCCTTAAATTTCACATTATGTACATGTTCTGTCACTTGCCAGATGTATTTAAAAGAGTTCAATAGTCACAAGGCGCAGTGGCTCATACCTGTAATTCCAGCACTTTGGGAGGCCGAGGTGGATGGATCACAAGGTCAGGAGTTCAAGACCAGCCTGGCCAATATGGTGAAACTCTGTCCCTACCAAAAATACAAAAATTAGCTGGGCATGGCGGCAGGCACCTGTAATTCCAGCTACTTGGGAAGCTGAGGCAGGAGAAGCGCTTGAACCTGGGAGGTGGAGGTTGCAGTGAGCTGAGATTGCGCCACTGCACTCCAGCCTTGGCAACAGAGCCAGACTCCATCTCAAAAAAAAAAAAAAAAAAAAAAAAAAAAAAAAAAAAAAGGAGTTCAGTAGAAATTGCCTTAGAAACCTGTGTTGTAGGGGGCAGGCTTCAGTGAAGGGCTCCTAGATCTTTTGCATTGCTTGCTGGCACAATGTTGGGCCCAACTGGGTAAATAAGTGGCAGTTAGACTTAAGGTCATCTAATCCTTAACTTGATAGATTCTGGGTGTTCTCTACAAATTTGCATTGAAACTAGCACTTACCTGGGAAATTTCTCTGCCAGCTGTCAAAGATATAGTTCCATATTCAAGGATGCTGTGTGAGGAAAAAATGAAGCCACAGAAATCTTAAATGTGGTTAGGGAAAGGACTGGGGTGATGAAAGATTCTAGCTAACCAGCACACTGCAGCAAAATCACTTTCTGGAAACACTGCATAACCTGAATACAGAATCAAGAGTAATTTGGTTTTTGGTTAAGATTGGCTTTGGCATGTTTTTTTTTAAACCAAGGAATAGTGTATTTGGAAATGTGGGAAAACTACATCAAAAAACTGAACCTTGAGTTGTAGTAAAATCAGGATTTAGTGTTGTTTGATTTCAGTAATGTATGGGCATCTAGGTTACATAAAAAGAAAATGTGAATAAAAGACCAGAATAAAATTTCTCTAGAAACACTGAGCCCTAAGATTAGATAGTTCATCTCAGAATGAACTATATAAAACTGCCAATAGGCAACTGCTTTTGTGCTACAAATACATATTTCAGGTCTTTGTCTTTTCCTTGTAATGAAGATGTGAAGTGTTAGTTCACGCTCTACCAGAGTAAAATTTCACTCATGTCTGTATTACGAATGTTAAAATAACCCAAAGAGTGAAAGTAAATTAGAGCTTTGGTACTCAGATAATCCTTTTCATAGTCATATGTTAAAGAACTAATCTTTCCCAGGTATCAAACTCTAAGAAAACTGCCATAATTACCACCTACTAGCAACTTAGTTTCCATGCCCCATGACATTTGTTGGAGAACCTGCCCACTCAGTGATATTTATATTCTTATTCTAAGCTGATCCAATTTTTCATTTATCTAAATGACTATATTCCCTTCTAGAATTCAAGCCAAAGGAGAGAATAATGTTAGTGTTCCTTATTCTATTGATTTATTCTTTTTTTTTTTTTTTTTTTTTTTGAGACAAAGTCGCCCAGGGTGGAGTGCAAGCATGATCATGGCTCACTGCAACCTCTGCCTCCCAGGCTCAAGCAATTCTCGTGCTTCAGTCTCCCAAGGAGCTAGGACCATAAGCAGTTGCCACCATGCTTGGCTAATTTTTGTATTTTTAGTAGAGAAGGGGTTTTGCCATGTTGGCCAGGCTGGTCTTGAACTGCTGGGTTCAAGTGATCTGCCCACCTCAGCCTCCCAAACTGCTGGGATCACAGGCCTGAGCCACTGCACGCAACCCTGACTTACTCTTGAAGTCATGAATTTATGTACAGTGTCCCTCTGCCAAACTGGTTTTTAAATCTTTGACCACTTATAGATGTCAGTACTTCTACTTAGTTAATGGCATATTATAAGGTGCAAACCATCTTATAAACAAGGATTCATCATATACTTTTTCTTCTAAGTTTAATACAGATCATTGATTCTAGTTTGCAATTTATCAAGATATGGTGATGAGTTGAAGATTTTACCTTAGGTACTAAATAATTAAAATGAATAAAAATATACCAATATTATCAGGATTTAGTGAGAATCACTGAAGCTGTGTGGCTAGAATTTTAATTCTAAAAAAAAACAAAAAACCTGTCATTTATTTTTAACTAAAATGTAAGCTTGAAAACAGTATGCTAAAGTCAAATTATGTGGTTTAAGTCACCCTCTGCACAGCAACTTTAATTCTACTTTCTGTACTTCCATTTTTTTTTTCTGTGTAACTGAAAACTTCAAACACCCTCATTCTAATTCTACACTATTCCTGGAAATCCTTTCTCTTTGGTGTATTTACCTAATTTCATACTCTAATGTGTTTTTCCTCTCAGACACAATAATCAACTATTCAAAGATGCCATCTAATGCATTATGCCACTAAGTATTGTGGCCAAAGTGTTATTTGAAGTGTAATAAATTATCTTAAAATTGAAGGCCAGGCATGGTGGCTCACGCCTGTAATCCTAGAACTTTGGGAGGCCCTGGCGGGTGGACTGCCTGAGGTCAGGAGTTTGAGACTAACCTGGGCAACACAGTGAAACCCGGTCTCTACTAAAATACAAAAAATCAGCCAGGTGTGGCGGCATGTGCCTGTAGTCCCAGCCACTTGGGAGGCTGAGGCAGGAGAATTGCTTAAACCCAGCAGGCAGAGGTTGCAGTGAGCCGAGATCATGCCACTGCACTCCAGCCTGGGCAACAGAGCTAGGCTCTGTCTCAGAAAAAAAGAAAAAAAAAAAAAAAAGAGAAAACAAATATTACTTAAATATAGGCATGGATTAAACCAACTTGTGTATGGTCCAGGCAATTACAAAAATGCTTTAAGACATATCAAGACTGATTTAAACCATTTAAGTTAGGCAGAGAGAACACTATGTGAATAGAAGTGTTATAAACACACTTGCCACATTTTAATTAAATAGTTTACTAGGTTTTCTTTTAATATAAACATGAGAAATGAAAACCACATCAATTGTAGCATTTATCTTTTGAAAATAAAACTGCAATCAATACTTCAATCTCTAAGCTCTGCATTCCATAAATGATATTTTTCAGGAGGTGGGGTTCCTAAGGCTTATGGACGTTCTTTTTAAATAGCGGGACATGAAATATGATACCTGCACCCAGGTTAACACGTGGGATAATAAAATGTATTACATCACCTACTGCTGTTAGGGTGCAATTCCTTCTAATTAGTTACATGTGAATTAACACAGATCCTACTCTTTATCATATCTAGGGAAAATAATTTGAGGTGATCAATGTAGATAAAAGCCCTGCAATGAGCTACTGTACAAGAGAAAAGTAAAACACAAGAATTCCAAACTTCTTAGTGTAATTTTAAGCTTCGATACTTGTAGAAGTAACAATGCTACAAACATTTACAAAACATCATTGAAAAACTTGTTGTATTTCTTTTACGTTTATTTAGTTTTGCCATTTTTTAAAGTGACAGGGTCTCATTATGTTGTCAAGGCTGGAGTGCAATGGCTACTTACAGGCACAATCACAGTGCACTGCAGCCTCCAAGGCTGAGCCTCAAGTGATTCTCCCATTTAAGACTTGTGAGTAGCTGGGACTACAAGCATGCCTAGCTCCTGAATATTAAGCTTTTGATTTTTCATTTCAGCCCTTCTTGAAGATAGCAGATATTGACTGAAACAAAAAGTTAAAAGCTTAACATTCAAATTCTGCAAAATAAACCTAGAGGCGGTGGTACACACCTATGGTCCCAGCTACCTGGTAGACTGACATGGGAAGATTACTTGAGGCCAGGGTTTTCAGGCTGTGGTGCGCTATGGTTGTGTCTCTGATTGCACTGTAGCTTGGGCAATATAGTGAGACACCATCTATTAAAAATAAAAAGAAGAAATACAATTACACTTCCAAATGATATTTTGTAAAGACTTACAGCATGTACATATATGCTGCAGACTTCTGGAGGGCCCAGGCACACTATATTAAAGCTAAAAACTGCCCCGAAACTTTCAGGACATCTCATATTTTATTATTTTTACATAATCACTGGATCACCATGTTGCTTGGAACTATGAAATCATCTTTGAATACATTTGCTTGACAATAAGGAAATTTATCAGCAAATGAGAACCATTATAGTTCACAAGAAATACACCACAGACATTCATAAAAGTAGACAATCAATAACCAATATTTTCTCTTTTTATGACCCCAAACATGCTAAACTGCTAATAAGAAGGGCTTACAAAGGATGTGAATGGCAAATGTTATCTGGCAACTTTTGCTTGATAATCACCAGTAACTAGTAGTTACTGGTAAAAGTAGGAAGGAAGAGCCCTTCCATACCTGACAATTCTGGGTCTGCTCCTAGTGGCTTTAGGAGTTGTTAGACTCCCATGTTTTAACAGTGATACTGCACTGATTCCAAATGCATATGCAGCAATATTGGGGAAAAGAGAAAACATAAACAGAAAAGTTATCTTTAAAATCTAAAAAGTTAAGCTATTGTTTTAAAAGTCTCACACAGATCACAGCTATCAGCCCACACACTAAGCAAATACCTGTGCGTGGGCAGAAGGAGTCTTCACTTTGGAGTGGTTTTTACAACTCCTTTTACATTAAACAGGACAGAAGAGTGTAAGAGTGTGTTGTTACCCTGACAAGGTCTCGTTCTTTACTATGAAGTACAATCTTAGTTGTCCTTGAGTTTACTTGAATTGAGGTGTTTCTTCTTTTGAAAATACCAACTTTTCTAGTTCTTTAGCCAGCAGAAGTGATATTTTCCCATCTTTTTTGATGAGGGGTTCAGATGTTACATTACCCCTCATTTCTTCCTTCAGAAGAGGATGGCCTTAGCACGCTGAAGATGAAATAAATCACCAGCACTCAAAGACCCGTTCTTGGCAGCACTATAGAAAACTTTGTATTGTTCCATCCTTGAAAAAGCCTAAGAATGTCAAACAGAAAAGAGGTACAATTTTAAAAAGGGTTCCAACTTTTTAACAGTCACCACTGATGATAAGTCACACATGCAACTCCTTTAAATAGTTCAGTTACAGCTGCTTTTTTTTTTTATTTTTTACTATTTATTTATTTATTTGAGAAGGAGTCTTGCTCTGTCGCCCAGGCTGGAGTGCAATGGCACAATCTTGGCCCACTGCAACCTCTGCCTCCCAAGTTCAAGCAATTCTCTGCCTCAGTCTCCCGATTAGCTGGGATTACAGGCACCCGCCACCATGCCAAGCTAATTTTCATATTTTTAGTAGCAACAGGGTTTCACCATCTTGGCCAGGTTGGTCTTGAATTCCTGACCTCGTGATCCACCCACCTCGGCCTCCCAAAGTGCTGGAATTAGAGGCATGAGCCACAGCGCCCGGCCCAGTTATAGCTACTTGGCTGATGTTTACACTGCCAAGTTCTGTCAACTCACTACCGTAATCTCCTTTCAGGGCTAGAATTAGATTGCTGGAGCAAAGGGGAACTTGTTTTATTAAGTTACTTAAAAATTGGGCTCCCAAAGACGTCACAGTATTGTGACAGGCTTCTAACAGCAGTATCATCTGTTACCTGTGTACTTGTTTGTACTTGTTCCTTAAACATGATGAATGTACACTTTTGCAAAAAGCTAGTTTATT